CCTTCGTCTGGGTAACGTCCATTTGTGTGTTTTCAAAGAGCTACAACTGCAGATAACGTAATATTTTGTTGTCATGTAGCAGATAATACCTGTGCACTTTGGAGAGGATGGAGTTCCTGCCGAGACTGAGCCCTGATAGCAATTATAATGCGGCGTGGCAAAAATGCCCTAATTACCAATATTACAGTGCAATCACCATAATCTAAAATCAATTATGCTGAGGCCTTATCTCAACTCCGTGGATTCCTTTGGTGGGGAATCATTTTCTCCCTTTTTAATTTTTTTCCATTACCCTCAGTCGTGATAAGGAATCAGCATACTCTGTCTTTTGAATGAACTTTCATTTTGAGTCACCTGTAAAGGCGTCGTCGTGTGCCCACTTCCACCAGTGGTGTGGGGCGTCGGTGTGAAAATATCGACACAATCTGCACCGACACTGGCATAATAGTTTCGGTATCTGTACTCGAGCATCCAATATAATTTACTTCTGACACACGGATATCAATGTGACAAGAAAATCAGTGTAATCTCACAGCATATTAAACCCCAGAGATGTAATAATTTATAGAAGCTGATCAACTCTGACCCCCGACTAGGTCAGGAAATCTCCACTGCCTGGATGACTAAGTCCGTGTCACAGAATTAGTCCACTGCCTCGGATGATTAACAACACTATTTCAAATAAATGACTTCTTGTGCTATTCAGAATTGAAATGTCTACGTGATAAACAAGCATCTTTGTCAATAAACGTTTGTGCTCTGTTGTTTTAACTGTATTGTTCTCAATATTCTGAATAAAGCTACCAGACCTGTGAGCGATGGGCTCTATTCTTTTCTTTTCTTAAATCCTAGCTTGGCCAATTGAATTAAAGGTGTAATCACAACAAAATGGGGTTTCTATTGAGTCTGGGGGCCTGAATCAATTTTCTTTTTTTTTTTTTTTTGTGAGAATATTTTTGAAAACCCATTACCTTCTTCTTCACAATACATGCACTACTCTGAGGTAAACTATCATTTACGATCAGACGATTTTGGAGATTTTGATACATAGCATCTATTATAAGTGATTTATTTAATATTTAGTGATAATTTAATAAAATGAGGTAAAACACGTGTTATTTTGAAAATAATCCGTTAGTCAGGGTCTGTTTTCTGATCTGATTCAATATATTCTTGATCCACGTTAATAAAACATTGGCCTGCCTGCTTTCAGCACCACGGACAGCTCCTCGCTCTCTTCGTCTCTCCTCGGAAGTTCTGAATGGGCCTGGTTTACTTGTTTCAATATAGACTGGACATATTTCATTGCCTTAATCACTTTTGCTGATTTTACTTTAACTTCGTGGTTTTCTGGGCTCCAATGTGATTCAAACTTTGTAATCTGGAGGGGGGATCACCCACCCTGTGTAAAAACAGCTACACATGTTCTTGCTGGAGGGGCAAACGCCGCCTCTCTGTGCATCCTGACAATGCAGCAGCTGTCACAGCTGGAAGCGGCCAGTCAAGTCAGAATCATCGGCCGCCTGAGATTTATTATTATTATTATTATTGACTCGGTCAGCGGAGAGGCCAATATTGACAAGTGCAGCGCTCTTCGTAATCTAGCAAGCTGAGGCTTATATATATATATATATATATATATATATATATATATATATATATATATATATATATATATATATATAATTATTTTTTTTAATTTAACGTCAGATCAAGTTTGACCAACACTGGCCTGCCGCGACGGATCCAATCAGAGTTCAGATCAGCTTCATCTTCCCCCAACACCCCTCCCTCTCCGTCTCTTTCTCTGCCTCTCTTTCTTAGTTGCAAAAAAAAAAAAAAAAAAAAAAAAAAAAAAAAAAAAA